TACCCCACTTTGGAGACCACTGACCTAGAGAAGCTGTGGAATCTCCAGCCTTGGAAACTTTCAAAACCAGCCTGGACAGACACTTGGCTGCTATAAGTTTAGAGATGTAGTTAGCTGTGTTAGTCTGAAGTCAGATAGAAGCCAGGGTAGTTATGCACCTTATGCACTAGCCAAAGTAGATTTTACAAAAACAGCCACATACACATGCACACAAATAGACATACACATATAGCACAAGTTTTCATGAGCTGAAGCTCGCTTCATCAGATGCTGTGAAAGGACATGCAAAAAGCAGAGTATAAGGAGAGAAAAATTAGAACACAAAAGGTAAGGGAAAGGGATAGAGTTGGGGGAGGAGAGCAGTGCTGGTAGAGGCAAACAAACAAGCAGTAAACCCATAGGAACAAAGATAAACCAGATAATGAGATAAGAATCCATAGTCCCTGTTTAAATGATGCTAAACACAATCCAGTCTGCATGATTTCTTATTCCACAATTTTCTGTTCAAATCAATTTTTAAAAGTTTAAAAGCCACTCCCGGGTCGGCAAGGGAATGTCAAGGGATGTTAAAGTGTTCTATCAGGTTCTTTGAGTAAATCCGATATCTTTTATTAAACTAACTCAAATAGTTGGAAAAATTCTTCTTAGCAAGCTTTTAGGGACACGCACCCTTCGTCAGGCTGAGGAAGTGTCTGCAGATGGTCTGTGCTCTTCCTGGATGGAGTCGTAAAGCAGCCAGAGGCCAGTACGTATGCAAGTCGGTTAAAATGTAAAATTGAGGTGGTAAATTGAAGCAGCCTCTGGCTGCTTTACCACTCCATCCAAGAAGAGCACAGACCATCTGCAGACATGTCCTCAGCCTGACAAAGGGTGCTTGTGCCCAAAAGCTTGCTAAAATGTATTTTTCCAACTATTTTGAGTTGGTTTAATAAAAGATACCGGATTTACTGAAAGAATCTTGTCTGCCTACATCCTTAGGCCAGCACGGCTACAACCTACACCCCTGTCACAAGCTTGTGTGTCTTTCTGTAGCTGATGTTGTTAATTCTGGTTTTCATGCATTCTGGCATTGCCCAGTCTGACCAACGCAGACAGCAGAGGGGCACTGTAAGCAAGTGATGACATATATGACATCTCTGGTGTTGCAAGTCAGTTAAATGAGGAAGTTATAATCTGTTTTATTTGGACCAGTGATAATGTGATCTGTATTGATGTTGGGACACAGAAGACATTTGGGTCTGTTGCAAGGCTTGGGTGAGACTGTGAGTTAGGTGACTTGTTGCTTGAGAGATGCAGTTTGAGGTTGGGAGGCTGCCTGTAAGTCAGAACAGGTGTGTCCCCCATGACTATTATGAGAGGTCATCATTTTCCTGATATGGTAACTAACTGTCCCTTTGCATCCAAGTCAGTGATGAACCAATGCCCCAGCTTGGCAGAGAGACTCCCAAGGTAATGGCTTTTAAGTGAGATACAGAGGCCCACTTGAAGTTCCATCTTGAATTGTCACAACCTATGTACAACAAACTTTGATTCTCCTCCATAGAGCAGTGAGGGGGGAGAATCATACTATCGCAATGAAACTTAAGGGTCAGCTAGTCCAACTCCCTGCAAAACTGCAGGATTTGTTATTCCCAGACAAATAGGAACATAGGAAAATAGGGCTGGAAGGGATCTCATGAGGTTATCTAGGTATCCTGCTTAACTTAGGATCATCCCTGACTACAACCATTCCATGTATGGCCCCTCAGTATGCCAACAAATTTATGGCAGACCTTGAAATCCATTTTCTTTGCAGCTGTCTTCTCATCCCCGTGATCAACCGAGGGTACACTGATGACATCTTCATTGTATAGATACATGGGAATGAATCACTAGAGGAAATTCAGCAGGACTTTAATAATTTCCGCGTTTCAGTCATGACTAATTCTGGAATACTCCATCCAGAAAATTCATCTCTTAGACACTACCATGAAGGTTTATAATGGCCACATTGCCACCATATAGTATCAGAGACCAACCAATTGCCACAGCTACATTTACACCACCAGCTTTCATCCTAAGCACACCACTAGACCCACCATCTACAGCTAAGCTCTACATTATAACTGTATCTGGTCCGATTGCACTAACTGGGAGCAGGGATTTTACCATTACAATAAACCCCCAAACTCTAGCCAGTCAAATCAACAAAGCCAGACTTGGAGCCTTCTCTGACATGCTACAATATCAACACAGGGACAAGGATAACAGCGTTCCTCTTATTGTTACCTACAGCCCCAAACTTGAACACCTTAGACATATAATTAATTACCTCCAACCTGGAATTTCAACGGGGAATTTCAAGTTGGTCTTGTTCCTCTACCAAGTTCCTCTCCCAAGCTAGGTCAGTGGTTCAGTACTGACTTGCATGCAAGGGGACAGTTAGTTGCTATAGCACTATTTTCTGCCATTTCCAGGTGTTAGGAAACTTCCTCAACCTTCTCCCTTAGTGGTTTTCAAGAAGAGAAGAGACTGGATAAGTAGTTGTCTGAGACAGAGCATGAAAGCGCATTTTGCATTTATTCAGGATAATACTTGTGGTCCCTTATAACTCTGTAATTCTGTCATTCAAGTACTGACCGAGTCCTATTCTGTGTAGGGATTCTTTACTCAGGGAGTACGCAGAAAAGGGAGTGGCATATCAACTTCAAGGTGCAAAAGCAATTAATGTAAGTTACAGCATGATAAACTCCAGTGTGGATGCTCTCATTCAAGTATGAGGTGGACTTGGATCACTGTAGCTCTGTGGTTCTCAGCTTTTTTAGAATCAAGATGCTCCTCAGAAAATGCCAACTCTTAGCTTTCATTTGTTTTTTGCCTACAGAAAAATAGTGAAGTACTTCTGTTGCAGGGGATCCTCAGAAAGACCAAAGAAGGTCAAAAAGTTTTTGACACTATGGATTTTTATTTGAATCCTATTCTTTGGGTTTCTCTTGTGAACCCTGCGTAGGTGTTGGCACACAGAGCAGGGCTAATACTGTGCAATATCTCATGGCAACCCAGGTTGAGGATCACTGCTGTAGCTTCATAAACGTTGGCTTCACAAGTCATTGATTCACCTTAACTTTCCTGGGTTTCCTCATGTAGATGATCCTTTAGCTGCAGACCCTTCTGAAGCTGGAAAATACCATAGAAAGACAAAGAAGATACCTTGTGTAAAGACACTTTGTAAATAACATACAAAATGTGAGCAAAACTGACAAGTGGTGTGGAATTTGGAGTCACTATCAATAGCTATCACATCACATTTAATCTGTTGGGCTCCCTCGCATGTTACCAGCTAGTATCATGACCTTAAAATTATACACTTGTAGGTTTTTTATATTCATGAATTTAACTCTTCAGTGCCTTCAGTAGCACTGCTTCCTGAGCATTTTTAATTGACTTTATTCTTATGGAAATACAATCTGCCATTAATTTAACAAGATGGATTTGAGTCAGCGGTCAACCCAGCTGTTCAATCAGTGAACTTGTGCAGTGCTTCTTATTGTTTTTGGTTGTAGATTAAGGAGTCCCTGGAAACAAAAACAACAAAAAAAATCCCGATAGTGAAACTTGCTACTTGTGTGGAAGTTCACTTCTACGTTTTGTTAGCCTGCATTTGATCTGGTCCATATGAAATAAAATGTCTGCCTCTGCTTGACTAGCATTTTTTTAACATTTATTTTCATTGTGCTTTGCAAAAACAGGTGAGGTGGGAAAGTTCTTAATTTGGGAATTCCAAATGAGCAGATCAGATTTAAACCCAACACCAAATTAATTGGTTGCAGGCAAACTGTACCAGGCAGTTGTGGAATATGCTGTATTAATTTGCAATGGCAAGACTTGATGTTACTGATTGCTTTTTTTACACAGTGGGATTGTTTTTACCTGCAATCTTTGATTAATAGGTTGGTGGAAGAAGGACCAAAGAACGTTACTGCCTCCCAACCTCCTCCCACTTCAAAATGAAACAGTTTGCTGTTTGAAAAGTGCATCCTGGCACATGGTACTGGAGTGAACCAGTAAGCACAGTAAGATGTGTTCCCTTAAAGCAGCAAACCTGTTAATGTATTTCTTTGAAGTCATACTGTAGAGAACCTGTTTTAAAAAAGGCAAGCCCCTGAAATGATCCTCAAGCCCGTCTAACAAATTTCCTATAACAGAAAGGTGTATTAGACTACAATAAACTGATCTGGTGAACACAGCCCTTTACGAGACTTGGTTGCTGTCCATTGGTTTGAAAATCTTGTGTATGCAAATACTGCGGAGCCCAGTGAAACGAGCAACTAACGGTATGCTTTTATCAAGTTTCTGACAAATATAGCTTGTGTTGCTGGCACTGGTGCTAGGATTTTTTTTTCCCCCCGCTGGCTCATCATTTTGAGATGGGAGGGGGTGGAAAAACCCCCAGCCTCTTGCAGCCACAAATTGCACAGCTTCTTTATTTTTCAATGGTGCTAAAACACAGCTTATTTTATATCGATCATACCAAGAAGCTAGCAAAGTACAGTGTTAATTGGGTCCACTGGAATTCTTACCCCCTGGGACCAAGAGCTTCCTAGGCAGAGGAGGAGGAGGAGGAGGGGTGGGGGGAACCCACTGTGAGCTGCATAAAATGTAAGTGCACTAGACATCAAGGCTTTTGCCTGCATCGCTGGAAAGCAGGCAAGGCGATTTTTGCAGAATTTAGCAACTCCATTGTTTCGTTCTGGTGGGTTGTTTTTTTTTTTAATACGTTTTTTTTTCCTTTCACAGAAAGAAAAATAGATATATTTGTTATTTTTCCCTCCTCCTTCCAAAGCTGCAAAGCCCTGCTTTGAAAACTGCTGCCCCAGAGTGCAGTTGCCTAGCTGTCCTGTCAGCATTGTTCTAATGCTCATTCCATATGTATGTCACATAGAAGCTCTACCCTCCTCCTCCTTCTCTCCCCTTCCCCCAATCCATGCATTTGCTTTTTTTTTTTCACCCTAAAGGCGATTTTTTTTTTCCCAGGGAGCTTGCAAGCAGGGAAATTCAAACTGCATGATCTTCGGCTGTAGGTTAGTTAAATGGTTGAGACCAGTTTCTCTTAGTGAAAGTGTTTGTGCTATTTCGCCTGGCTCCCTCTTTTTATTATATAAACACAAAGGTTTTAAGAAACTAAGATCTGTAGTTCTTTTTTGTCTTTCCTCGTTACCGTGGCAGCATGTATCTTGGTTGCTGAAGAATGAAGCAGGCAGGCTGGAGGTTTTTTTAATGTTTAATGCTTTTGGGGCCACTAGAGAGGATTCCACAGAGAAATGTGTACAGCAGCGGTGCCCACTGAGTTTGTTACGCTTGTTCTCTGTCACTTCTTCTGACTCAAAGGTAAAGTCTTCTGTAATATTTTGGTTAAAAGTCTTCGTATGTTGTTTGTGCAATCTTGTTTGACATTTACAACTAATTAGTTTGGGAGGGAGGGATGGCTGGGAGGGGTTTATGACTTAAAGTATTATAGATCATCCAAGTGAAGTGCTTTACATCTGGAGTAGAATTCTTATTTTTGGAAATTTTTCTTTTTTATTGCAAGTGGCTTCCCACACTTGATTCAGTGTTGACTGAGGTATAAAGGCGAGGCATTAATACTGCTGCTTATCCTTTTTCTGGTCTTTATTCTCAATCTAAAATAGATGAACTGTCTATGTAGTAGGTGTATGTGTGTCCAAGATGTGTGTGCGTGTGCGCGCACAATACTTTTCTGCATGTACAATTTTTCCTTTGTACTGTAATTGAATGTCCTCAAACATGCCTTGCAAGGTAAGAATGCCTTAGTTCAGCACATTGCAGTTTATGCTCGTTTAAAATTATTACTTGGATCACAATGCATACTGTGGACATTTATTAGTTTCCACAGAGACCAGTTTAACTGGAGAGATACATTTGTATTGTTTCTGTTTTATATTGTGCATACATAGGTGCTTAGAGAACTTCTGAAGGGTTTGTTTCTTCCTCTTTAAGTGTTGTGAATGATAATGGGAAAACTTTTAATTGTCATGTCTAGCAGAAATTTCAGGTACAGATGACAACAAGGGTCACACAGAAAAATCTCCAAGGTGCCTACATTTATGCTTACAGTCATAGGTCAGATTATGAATAAGAAGAATTATATACAGTACACAGAATCATACAAAAATGTCATTGGAGTAGGAGGGGGTAGAAATAAACCCTTTAATAAACTCAGCAGCAGCAAATTCTGTCAGGATTGTATCGTTATGTTCTTTACACAGAAGAAGCCTGTTAAATGCATAACCTTGGTGCGGAAAGAATTTCTTTGCCCGTGTCCATTTTTTTGGAAAGCTCTTAATTCAGCAGGGGTTTTCTTGTATTATGAAACAGGTTATAGTTCTGCAGAATGAGTACGTACATGCTGCCCATCAAGCCCATTAACTCCTATTTATTAATCTATTTTGGTGCTTTGGTCGTATTTCTAGGGACTGCACTGCTTCCTTGGCTATGTCTTATAGGTATTGGTTCTTTGCACAGAAAACACATCCTTCTAAGTGAGTTCATCTTTCTTGCTTTAAAATGATCAGTAGCAGATTCAGCTGAGCAATCTCCTGTTCTAATTCTACTGTACCCTTAGTCTTGTCTAGGTATATTTTAAATAACTGGAGAGTCTTCCAATACCCAGTGATTTCTTTTTGCTGTTGTTGTTTCTCAGTACTCTAAAATCCAAAATGTGTGCAAGGGAACAGAGAGAAGAGGGAGGAAGAGGGATGTCCTATTTGAAGGCATGAATTTCTTTCTTTTTTGTAGTTGTTTGCACTGTCACTACAAGATGGGTTGGATATTTCCTCACACATGCTCTGAGGCTATATTTTCCCCATAATCATTGCTTTGTATCAGTACTAAGAAAACAGCCATTTAGATAACAGGTTTCAACTGATGTCCCGTTTTATAGGGTAGAAATGAAGGAGCAGTAATAAGTTTAAAAAATTGGCATCTGCTAATTATGCTGCTTACAGATTGTGAGCTCTCTGCATGTCTTTCCTTGCCTTAATGTTGTTAGCATATTTTATCACTGGCAAGCAAAGGAAGGCAACTTGAACATTCGCACATAAAAGACGATGACTTGTGAAGAAACATGAAGTTTTTTATGTTTGTGTTCTGTCTCTGAGATTGGAGAGCATCATATGGCTGTATGTGCGCGTGCCTCTGGGGAGATTGATTAAAGATCATTGAGACATTGAATTGTCTAACGATCACTGGGGGTTATTTTGACCCTGGCTGACATGAACATGTTATTCAGGCATAAAACTTAGTATCTTGAAACTGGGTAAAAACTTGAGTTCATCTAAGCCGCTAAATATGTCTTGTGCTTCCTGAAGGAAAAATCTTTATTTTTAATTGACTGCACATATTTGCATTAGATAATTCTTTTGATTACCTAATGCTAAAGATGCAAATATGTTGCTCTCAGTGAAGACAAGGAGTTTTCTATCTACCTCATAGGACAAGATTGGCCCCTGGCTTTTTTCACTATAAGACACCACAGTATGATTGTCTGTTGATCTAAGAGTGCATGCTTTTATCGATTGAGCTAGAGGCCCAAGTCCAGGAGGCAGCAGCCAAGGATGCATAAACATCTTAGATGGTTTAGCCACTAGAGGGCAGAAAAGAGCCATACTTGGTTAGTACGAAGGCTAACAAGGAGGAGTATGTCTACACTGCAGACTGGAGTGCCCTGCAGAGATCCCTGAGGTCTCTTTAATTTAGTAGTCCAGTTGTGGCAGTATGGAAGTAAAGCAAGGGCTGTTTTACACTGATTCTTGCTCTGTGCTGCCTGAACTAGGCTCCTGCCAGCACTTGAGTGGTCTGAGCATCTCTTCTGTACTAGAATGTGCAATGTAGACATACCGGGCATGCACTGCTGATTAGTTCTCTGTAAACTGCTGCCTTGCTCTGCACAGATTGTATGTCATTAACACTGCTCTTGTACTTTAAGGTTATCTGGTTGAAGGGTTGTACCTCTCTTTTGCAAACATACACCATATATTATGAACAATTTGTGAAAAATAGGAGAGTAGTTCCTGTTATATCTGCAAAACCACTTCATGCTGTCTACTAAAGGACCCCCCACACATGCACACGCTTTTCCCTTTACTGTCACTCCATGAGGTTGTTTTGGTTCTGTGGTTCAACCGATCTGCAGTAATTGGTGGTAGGGTAACTAGGTTATGGGCATCGGCCTGATGACTGAACTGATGAGTAAAGGGGCTAGGGAGGGTTGTTGATTCGAATTTATTTCTGGATGGTAATAAGCCAAGGTTGCTAACTGATACTGATGATTTGATATCTCTTGGATGCAAGTTCATGGTCTAGTTTTTAGTAGGCATATGTCCATGTTGCAAAGCAGCCACTAGAGTAAGCATGAAGTAGCGGTGGTGGTCTGAACAGAAAGGAGAAGGACTGGCTAGAGATGGAAGACCTTCCCAGCCATGCTTCATTCAACCAGGTTTGAGTCTCATTGGAAGAGCAGTTTGTGAACCATGTGCACAGAATTTTTACATGCTTCAGTTTTGTCTCTATCGTTGCTTAAACATGGGCCTAATTTTGTTGAAGAAAATGTCACAGTTTTGGCCTCAAAATGGAGCTTTGTGGAAATGTGTGTTCAGGGAAAAAAGATTTTTTGTAATGCTATGTTAATGCTATCCCATTTCACATGCTTTTATTTTCTTTCCAAAAATTATCCACATGTAGACTGTGAATTTAGCACCTTTTATGAGTGCTGAGGGGATGAACTTCATCCTTGGCCTTTATGAAGAGCCCTGTTGAGTCAATGGGGCTGCCTGTGAGAGCAGGCGGTATAGGATCAAGCCTTAATTCACAAAGAGGATTCTTTGAAAGCCTAAAAGGAGCTTTACTCTTAAATTCAAGGAGGTTTGGAACAGGCCTAGTAAAGCACGTAAGCATGTGCGTGTGCATGCACACACACAAATGTGGGGGCCATGTATTGAAGGCAGTTTTTTAAACTTAGGTTAAAATATCATTCACCATGAGTCCAGTGCCTGTTGAAATCAATGAAAAATGGCCATGAATGTCAGTGAGACTTGGATCAGGCACCATAAACAGAAGAGGATTTTTACTGTT